ACCAGAAACTCGTGAAACTCAATTGATATCAACTAAATTTAAACAATAAAATTTGGTGAGCAACTAAATTCTAGTTGGATTTATATTGGCAACATTGCGAAATCTTGTTACAATTAGTGTCGTTTAAATTCCTTCCCACTTTAGTACTTTTATTTTTAAATGGTGGGCAACATTGCCTGCTCTCTATTTTTTTTTTAACCTTGACTGCTAACAGTGCTAACTGCTAACCTATCTTTTTTGTATTAGTATTATAGTACTTGTAATTAGTGACTATGGATATTCTTGAGCATTTTAATTTCACTAGGTTTGTAATTTTCTTGTTAAAAATCTTCCGGATCTATCGTGTACATTTTTAGGTAACAGAATTAATATCTCAAGTATGTTTTTACACTTATCGAAAAGAGCAAAACTGCTTACGCTGCTCGTGGGTTCAGCCGTTACTCTACATTTTGCTTCTTATTTTATAAAGTCTACAGTCACTACAGACAAAACTGAGGACATCAATGCACAAGTAAGAAAGAAGATTCAAGATGATATTTGAAAAGACCACAACATGATATTATCACTTCCTCGACAGCAAAATATGGAAATTAGATGTAGGTACTACAAGAGAAAAGTAGCATTCCAACCTATATATCTATATAATCATAGATGTTTATCAAATTACTTAGTACGACGACGGATTGTTATGAATATAAATAAAAAGCATGTTATGTAACACAATTTTTATTAGTTTAACAATAAATTTAAAATATACAACATATAATGTAACACAACCTTTTGAAATCTGCACAACAGATGTTTTTTATCCACATAAGCATGCAACACTCCGTTCTACACATATCTCCTGCCTCTGCGTTAAACCAGTACGAAATATGAAAACTGAAGGCTATCAAAGAAATAAAAAATGAACTTCTCACAGTTGATAAACGATTAAAAACAGAGCACAGACACCTCAAACTGTAAGAGACCATCTCTTACAGTATGTGCAAAAATATATAAACAGTGCCGCCGAGAAATGAAGAGAACTACAAATATTCCACGATATCGCATTTAATGGAGATGTTGGGACAAGATCGCCCAAAAGAGTAATCAATGTTGTGCTGGCTCTTGTTGCGCTCGGTGAGCAGTTTTTGGAAAATCGGCAAGATTTCGCGATCTAACAGTTCACTCTCTGAGGTCGCGTTGTACATGGATTTGTCCCTCTTAGGCGTGTGCACGTTGGTTTTGAGAGCGGCCACATTCGGAGTGCTCTGAAAATAGCCCAGCTTGTTGCATTGTTGGTTGCATATGTTGGTGGGCATCTCCTTCTTGGCCACAGGAGACTTCTCCCGCTTCTCCTTCTGGGAGGAGTGTCGGTTGCGCTCCGACACAGTACGGTGCATGTGATTGGACTCTGAAAGAAGCATGTGACTGCATATCAAAGTACTAACTGGTAGAATAGTTTATTTGAAACAAGTATCAGTCTGATATGCATACTCACTTCTAACTGTATTGTGTTTATATGTAAAATTACATATTGGAAAGTGAAATAGATTTATTATGTGTGCGTTAAAACAGAAATAAAGTCAGTCAGTGAATGCATATAATGGCCACATCTACAGGGTGTAACGTAAAGGTTGGGAATAAATTAAACGGTGGATTCTTTAGTTTAAAAAATAAATTTTTGTCATATGAAGTTATGCTCTACGAGTTTTCTTTTCCAAGCTACAGGGCGCTAAAAAATTTCAAAAAATTTAGTTTTTCTCCAATAACTTTCGAACATTAGAAGATTATGGAATGAAATTTTATCCATAGCTTAATTTGATAATCCCCTAGTAACAGGAAAAAGATTGGCTTTGTAAGTTACTCAGTGGCGTGCGTACGTCTTATACCGTAAGGTTTTTCGAAGAAAATTGTGGTACGCCACTGGTAAAAACATTTTTTTAATATCTTTTTATGATGCACATTTTATTTTAAACAAAATTACCCTCTTGCGTTTTATTCCTAGCTCTTGTCATTTTTCCGCAAATAAAACTTTTGTAAATACCATTTTTCCCCGCTGCTAACATAGAAAAATGAAAATAACAAAACATTATGATGTATGCTTTGACTCAGCCACCGAAAATGGTCAAATAGGCATTAAAAAAAGACTTATTTGTATTGAAAATGATATTAAAGTATCACATTATTTTAACAATAATAAAAAAACACTAGTGACTTAGGAATTTAAAGAATTTATTGAGTAGGTAATAAGAAATAATAAACAACAAACAAGATTACAAAATGTGCTGGAAATGTTGCCCCCCAACTTCAGTACATTTTCAATGCGTTTTCTCGTGGATTCTCTTACTCGTCCAAAAATTCCAGGCATATCTCGAATTAGCTGACAGCCCATTTCAACTCTTTGACGAAGAATCTGTACATCAGAAATGGGAACGGAATAAACTATGGTTTTTAAGTGCCCCCACACATAATAGTCTAACGGATTAAGTTCGGGAGAACGAGCAGGCCACGCTCTTGGCCTTACACGACCTATCCATTTATTGGGGAACGTTTCATTGAGGTATTCTCTAACTTCTCGCCTAAAGTGAGCTGGGGAGCCATCATGCATAAAGCACATGTTCTGGCGTGTTTCAATTGGAACTTCTTCTAAAGTCGCACAGCTAACACAGTATTCCCGTTGGCAAGGCCGTAAATAAAATGCATATCTGCTAATTCTGGAAATGAGTAGTCCATTTCTAACAGATCTAAACCAAAATACAACCGTTTAAGGAAAGCTAAATGTCATAACTGACGATGATGTTTTGTCTGAAAACATCTGAAAACAAATTTTGGTGGCTTGGTCAAAGCATACTTCATAATGTTTTTATTTTCATTTTCCTATGTTAGCAGTGGGAAAAAATAGTATTTACAAAACGTTTATTTACGGAAAAGTGACAAGAGCTAGGAATAAAACGCAAGAGGGTAATTTTGTTTAAAATAAAAAGTGGATAATAAAAAAATATCAAAAAAATGTTTTCACCAGTGGCTTACCACAATTTTCTTCGAAAAACCTTACGGTATAATCCGTACGCACGCCACTGAGTAACTTACAAAGCCAATCTTTTTCCTGTTACTCGGGGATTATCAAATTAAGCTATGGATAAAATTTCATTCCATTACCTTCTAATGTTCGAAAGTTATTGGAGAAAAACTAATTTTTTTTATATTTTTTAACGCCCTGTAGCTTGGAAAAGAAAACCCGTAGAGCATAACTTCATATGACAAAAATTTATTTTTTGAACTAAAGAATCCACCGATTAATTTATTCCCAACCTTTACGTTACACCCTGTATATGTCTATGCGTATGTATATAGGGTAAGGAACTAGACAAATGTTTAAGGTATTACTTTGTCGTTATACATATGAAAGGTCAAATGTTTCGGTCAGTCCCAGAACTTACCCTCATCCTGCGATATACTAACTCTGCCGCTCTTCTGATGGCTCTTCATGCACCTGTGCTGACTTCCGGTATCCCAAAGCTCACTTTTGGCCACCACGTGCGTTCCGCACTCGGGTTTCTTCTTCGGAGTTGTCCTGTTACTCGGAATGCTCACCCTCCTGGGACACACCACCTCCTCTTGTTCCGGCAAAAGTTCATTTTTAACGCTCATTCTTCGTTTCTCCATCGACTCTAAATCCAGGACCTTGGAGGCTCTGCGTTCATGGACGGGCGTCCTAAATATTTTTGGTTCGTCTTTTTTTATATCTGCGGGACTATTGTCGGCCCTGGACCTTTCAAACTCGGAGCCAAACGTGTCTTTTACGCTGTTGTAATTGCTGTCCACTTTGAGATTATCTAGAGAGGGCCTGGCTAGCGAGCCGTTGGCTTGCCTCGAGTGATCTTGCTCGGTCAAGTCTGGAGGCCGTGAGGAGTTCTGGGTGGGCTTTTCGGCCTTTGGAGAGTCGCCACTGGGTGGCCTTTTCTTCCTGAAGTGTGTAGTTAGAGTAAATGTTTTTGTTTATAGGAAGCTATGTTTTTATGTGCATTTCAGAAAAATATCTACCTCACAAATGCTGGTACATTGTAGGCATTTAGTTGTACAGAGTGGGCAAATAAGCGAGGTAGAAGCAGAAGAAGCAGAAGCAGAAACTAGTGATCGTAGAGAGCTACGGTAAAATATTTTATAGGTAAAGTGGGCAAGGGAAAATGCTGGAAATTATTATCAAGTTTCCAAGATGGCCGCCAGTGGGCGTTTCCACCATCTTGAATTACATAAAGTTACGTTTCTCACGATTTTCCCCAATGAATGTAACAAAAAGTATTTGCGTTTTAATGTTAACTTAAAGTCGAACATTTTTTGTAAAAACAATTTTTCTCTATCTTTCGAAATAAAGTGGTGGGGGGTATTTGAATGTTGTTTTAAATAAATGCCTGTAACTTCGAAACGGCTTAATGGATTTGGATAAATTTGGTATCATTGAAAAGAGCATTTCTTGGGCTTTTAGGTTTCTCGTAATCATGACAGTTGCGACCTACACGGCCGCCGATAGAGGGCGTTATTCGATATTATAACCAAAATATTGGATTTTCTCAAAAAATTTAAATGCGATGATATGACTTTTTTTAGACTAGAAAATAGACAAATGACCAACCAATAAGCCTGCGCAAACCGCATCTTAATATCTTTTTCCTAACTCAAATTATTAAAAAAAAAAACTAAACCAGGAAAATTCATATATCCCCATTTAAAAATGCATCGGTTGCTTTCGATAAGAAGGCAAGTAGTAGGCCATGGAAATAAAAGACAAACTCCTCTCTAAAATATTCACAAGAAATGTCAGTTTATTTAGTGCTGTGATTTTAAGTCGCACGTTTTCGTATTTATAAGCGATTTTCCTTTTAAATAAAGTTGTGGTCCTGAAAAGGACCGATTTTGAAAAAAGATTAATGCCTTCTGTGTTCAAATTGCCTTCCGTCATATTCCACACATTGTTCCAGTCTTTCTTGAGTCGACAGAACCGCAGCCTCGATTTCTACCGCTGATAGTTGACGAATTGAGTTTCGAATTCTGTTTTCCATATCCATTCGTGTTGTTGGTGGAGTTTGAAAAACAATGTCTTTTAAGCGTCCCCACAAGTAAAAATCAAGACATGTCAAGTCCGGAGATCTTGCCGGCCAAGGAAATAGGCTTCCCCTTCCTATCCAGCGTTCTCGAAAGGTCCCGTTAATATGGTTTCGGACATTAATTGAATAATGTGCCGGACAACCATCTAATTGCAGAAACATAGTTCTCCTAGTTTCGAGTGGCACATCTTCCAACAAAATTGGCAAGTCGTTGATCAAAAACTCTAAGAAGCGGTTACCAGTTAAAGCTTGATCAAAAAAATAAGGTCCAATAATTCTGTCCCCAATGATACCGCACCACACATTTAGGCTCCAGCGTCCCTGGTGCTGCACTTCTCTTAACCAATGCGGATTTTCAGCGGACCAATAATGCATATTATGACGGTTTACTCTACCATCACTACTAAAGGTAGCCTCGTCGGTCCAGAGAATTTCCGTTAAGAAATTTCTGTTTTCCTCAAGCATGCCTAGCATCCATTGACAATAATTTAATCTATTATCGAAATCTTGTTCATTTAGCGCCTGGTGCAAAACTATGTGGTAAGGATGTAATCTAAAAGTAAAAAACAACATATGCGTAAAAATAATATAATCAGAATAACACTGAATTGTGTATTTGAGAGTATGTGCTAAGATACTTGGAATAAGATAAAATTATTTACCTATAATCTTTCAAAATATTTCTAACAGTTGTTCGTGCTATTCCCAAGTCTAGAGACAATGTTCTAGTTCCTACATGTCTATCAAATTCTATGTAAGCCAAGACATTGATAATGTTTTCTTCGGTCCTTCCATTGCGACGCCTGCGACGTTTAGGACGACGAAAACTTCCAGTATCGCGTAATCGCTGTACCAAGCGCGGAAACATTCTTCTCCCGTAATGACGGCGATCTGGATACCGTGCCGCGTACTGTCTTGCAGCTATAGCTGCATTTTGAAAACACTCGAAATAAATCGCAATCATGTCAACGGCTTCATTATTTGTGAGAGGCATTTTGATTAAAAAGTACTCAAATTATACGCAATCAACAATATTAGGCTGCGTGTGACAAAAGTTTGACGTTACTTGGCAATATTTTTGTTAGGCGATTGTCGTGTCCATGGCCTACTACTTGCCTTCTTATCGAAAGCAACCGATGCATTTTTAAATGGGGATATATGAATTTTCCTGGTTTAGTATTTTTTTAAATAATTTGAGTTAGGAAAAAGATATTAAGATGCGGTTTGCGCAGGCTTATTGGTTGGTCATTTGTCTATTTTCTAGTCTAAAAAAAGTCATATCATCGCATTTAAATTTTTTGAGAAAATCCAATATTTTGGTTATAATATCGAATAACGCCCTCTATCGGCGGCCGTGTAGGTCGCAACTGTCATGATTACGAGAAACCTAAAAGCCCAAGAAATGCTCTTTTCAATGATACCAAATTTATCCAAATCCATTAAGCCGTTTCGAAGTTACAGGCATTTATTTCAAACAACATTCAAATACCCCCCACCACTTTATTTCGAAAGATAGAGAAAAATTGTTTTTACAAAAAATGTTCGACTTTAAGTTAACATTAAAACGCAAATACTTTTTTGTTACATTCATTGGGGAAAATCGTGAGAAACGTAACTTTATGTAATTCAAGATGGTGGAAACGCCCACTGGCGGCCATCTTGGAAACTTGATAATAATTTCCAGCATTTTCCCTTGCCCACTTTACCTATAAAATTTTTTACCGTAGCTCTCCACGATCATTAGTTTCTGAGATACAGCCTCTTACCTCACTTATTTGCCCACCCTGTACAGCAAAATGCCCTTATGTTTGATTCACAATGAACCGTTTCGCAGGGTGTATAACCAATCTGGAATTATCGGGAAATTTCACAGACCTGGGAATGTCGGGGAATTTTTTCAAATTACAATCGTAATCGGTTTTACTTTTTACATTTTTATCGTCGTATTGAACTAAATTAAATTATCACTACCCAACGCATATCTTGCAAATCATCAAATATATTTGATATTTGGCGTCCATAAGAAAAATTAAGTTGTTTCTTCAAAAATGTAGGTTAAAGAAAATTAACTAATTATGACAATGCATGAATAGCGGAAACTAGAATTTTGTAAATCTACCTGGAAATGTAATTTTTTAGAGAAAACTTAGCATACACCCCGGTTTCGGTAGGTATTTTTAACTGGCAAGTACCGGACATAAAAACATAAAATCTATTACTGCCTATCTAGGGTTAATGTGCTCTCAGTATAAAGTATTCCCTTTGTTTTATTTATCGATTTGAAAATATGCATGAGAAATGTTCCGTTGCAGGTTGTACATCGACCGTTTGGAACATTACACTGAGTGCACGACCCTCCACTCTGCACACGGCCTACACCTCTATACAAAACTACGCCACCGCTTGTATGTACCATGCTGCACCTACTCAGCGTTAAATCTACCAATACCCTACACACGTACGGGATTAAACGTACTTGAACTTATGGTGGTTGTGATTACCCAACATTGGACTGCAAGGAAAAATTAATCACACAGTTGTTCGACTGACAGAATGAGCAGGTCTCGATCGTAAAATTGGTTACATTGAGAAAAGAAATGAACATAGGAGTACAAAAATTGCAGAAAAAGGAATTCCCGAGGGGCGATCCGCTGATGTAATCTTCGTACGTTTGCCCTGGAATCTTTATGTAATCTACGTAATCTTATCTGTAATCTATCTGTAATCTACGTAATCTTATCTGTAATCCTCGCTATAATCTATGTAATCAGCTAATGAATTTCGTCGATGTAGTCGTTATACAACGCCTCCCCCCCCCCTCCTCATTTTCCAAAGAATGCCACAGAAACCTCGACAGAAACCTATATGGTGCGATTGGTGTGTTCCGAAGGGCAATCCGCCAAGGAAAAAACAGACGAAGATTACAAAATTTCTGAAATCTCTTGTAATGTATCTGCAGATTTCAATATCAATTCAAAAAATATTACAAATTTCATATAAATAATCAAGATTACAACACATTTCAGGAGATTTCAGAGTTATTTTAGTAGATTTCAATGATTACTTAAGATTTCAATAGGATTATTAGAAATTAAAAGAATATTTCAAAATTTCTTAATAAGGTTTCAAGGAATACGGGAAGATTACAATAAGTTTTGAATGTCCATTTGAACAAAAATAATTGAATTAACTTCAAATGTCATTCATTTCATTCATTAACAGTAGTACTTTGATTAAGAATTTCCAGTATCAGGCATTTTTTGGGCAAAAATTGTAACATTCTGATTAAGTTTTTTGTTCGAATGAACGTTAAAAACATTTTGTCATGACAAAAATGATAATGCTATTTTGAAAGTAGGTAAGTATTTTCCCAAAAACTAATAAATAAAAAATATATTAAGCTTTTATTAATACTTGCATTTAATACTTTACTTGTATACAGTGTGTTTAAAAAAGACGCGGCAATATTTAAGGGAGTGATTGCTCAGGTCAGTTTATAAAAAAAGTCCTATAAACATAGGTCCGCAAACGCTTCGTTACCGATCTACAGAATGTGAAATTTCATTAAAAAACAGTAAAAATTAAATTTCTCTAAAACGCAGCCCCTTATTATTACCTACTACAAACAACAGTATGTACCACATTTCAAAAATCAATCAAATTTGATAATTTGAATTTCTTTGTTCAATAATTTAAATTTCTCAATTAAAACAACATTGGGTTTAGGTGCGCAATAAAATGTTTTTTATTTTTTTACTCAATAACGGTGTGACGTACGGTGCGTATAATCTGAGGAAAGCTTTCTTCTTCATAATTGAACAAGGAATTAAAAAATTATATTTTTAGAAAAACCAGCGGGGTCCTATTTTTTTCATTAAAAATAGCTAGTCACTGGTAAGACTAAAAAATCGTTTTGTATTGCAAAGTACGCGTCTGCCATAGCTATTGACAGGCCTAAAATTTCATTATAATATCAAGAGGTTTTGGAGAAATTTAATTTTTACTGTTTTTTTAATGAAATTTCAACATTCTGTAGATCGGTAACGAAGCGTTTGCGGACGTATGTTTATAGGAACTTTTTTTTATAAAATGATCTGGGCAATCGCCCCCTTAAATATTGCCGCGTCTTTTTTAAATACACTGTATACAGGTAAAGTATTAAATACAAGTGTTAATAAAAGCTTAAAATATTTCTTATTATTTATTTTTTGGGAAAATGTTTATTTTATGTTACTTCTATTTTTTTATTTTTATTAGTTTATTGGATTATTATATTTTTATCTTTCAATAAAAATATATACTTACCTACTTTCAAAATGGCGTTATCATTTTTGTCATGACAAAAAGTTTTTAACGTTCATTCGAACAAAAACTTAATCAGAATGTTACAATTTTTGCGTAAAAATGATACTGGAAATTCTTAATCAAAGCACTACTGTTAATGAATGAAATGAATGACAGTTGAAGTTAATTCAATTATTTTTGTTCAAATGGACATTCAAAACTTATTGTAATCTTCCCGTATTCCTTGAAATATTATTAAGAAATTTTGAAATCTTCTTTTAATTTCGAATAATCCTATTGAAATCTTAAATAATCATTGAAATCTACTAAAATAACTCTGAAATCTCCTGAAATGTTTTGTAATCGGTTGAAAGATATTGTAATCTTGATTATTTATATGAAATTTGTAATTTTTTTTTAATCGATATTGAAATCTGCAGATACATTACAAGAGATTTCAGAAATTTTGTAATCTTCGTACGTTTTTTCCTTAGCGGATCGCCCCTCGGGAATTCCAGAAAATGTCCTTGATATGAACCAATTTCACGGACTAAGACCTTCGTCCGTTTCGTTCAGGGTTACTCACTTCTGACTGTCGGTATGGTGCAAGGAGGTGTAGTCTTGGGAACTGAGACTACACAACGAAGTGATGTCGCTGGTTTCCGTGGCACTGGGCGGCTCCTTCCTTATAAGGGGCACGGAGAGTCTGTTGGTATCGCTCATGGAATCCGTTCGGGAGTCGAGTATTTCGCGGGCCTCGCTGCCCAATCTTCTAATGAGCATCTAAAATATTCAAGAAGAAACAGTTCTGAATGTTTGGCATTTTCCTTGCCGTCAGACAAAATTTTCGAATGTGAGAATAAAACTAAGATTTTGTACCTGTAACTCGGACTCCTTCTCCAGAAGTGTCTTCCTGTACTTGGAATTTAAGCTTTTGACATCTTTGAGTTTACTCTCCAGCTCGGAGGCGCTCGAGTCCCTTCTAGTCTTCGACATGGGTCTCAGAGTGGGCCTAAACCGTTTGTCGATGGAACCGCCGGGGTTGCGGCGCAGCTCCAACATTTTCGGGACAAATACCAACCACAGGGTGGCCGTGGTGCAGAACATTACAAAAACGCCTGGAATTTTTTACAGAGCTTTTACACAGTTTCGTCGTGGTGGATCTAAAATTTACGCCTGATATAAGTAAATCTTACCGATAATTAAAAACATAGCATCCTGATGGTCTACAAGAACCAGCGCCACGGCAGCGCCGCAAATGCACATGATAGCAACATTGTAAACGGACAGACCAACGTGCCTACTGTCGTTCAGTGCCGGGATGGAAACGTGACGAGTCTCCCAAGCCAAGAAGGCTCCGAAAATCTGAAAGAGGGCGTGCGATTGATGGGTGAATTCATATTGTAGAGTATACGCGTACCATTAGCAGGCCTTTGTACGCGTAGATGCATCCTACGAAAATGGTTTGATGTTCAGACGCACAGTATTCGTTTTCGGGTATGATGATGATGTCTTCGTTGGAAGGGTGAGGCTGGAAATGAGTTTTTATTACTATGTTTCTCATTTACTTTACGTCAGTCAAATACGTCACTTAATTTAGTCGAGCTCTACCCTTACGTATCGTTCCATTTGTTTGGTATCTCTGTAAAAGGGATCGGCCACCTGCCATGTAGTCATAATGACCAGGTCGATGAAAAGAAGCACGCCTACCACCATAAACAGCTGATAATCCTTGATGACCTTTTTGTTGAGTTTGACGTCTGTGAAAATGGAGTGCACCCTCCAGGTCTTGCTGAACATTGCGCCGAAGGCTAGGGAGAAGCCCGCCATGAGGGACCAGGCCCTGGCGGTACATATGTAGGGAAAGGCGTCTGAAAAATAAGGAAACATAAAGAATTCGACAAAAGTATGATTATTTTTAAGACTTATTACCTATGCTGGATAATCCAGAATCTAAGCCGAGGAAGATGATGCTAGTGTACGTAAGCATACAGCCGATAATGATCAGGTTGTTCAGCTGCGGGCTGGACATTTTTATGTAGCGCTGATTCCTGTATTTTATGTTGAAGGCCAAGAAGACTATGGCCATTATAATTCCGCACACCGCCAAAGTGGCTAAAATCGCGTAGACCGTTTTGTTTACTCTCGTGTGTTCTATGATGACTAGAGTCCGATCCTTTGGAGGATGTCTGAAAAAATGGTAGATATCAGACCGTAAGAGTGCAGTTATACCGCAAACGTGCCGTGTGTTCAAGTTGATATTTACTTGCCGATCCACTTAAGGGGTGCCCCGAGAGTCAAGTCAAGATGTTGGGTGGCCGCGCTGTATTCCCCCACTTTTATTTCTCGCCCCTCTTGAAACTGCTTCAACAGGATACTGGCTTTCCTTTCATTATCGTAGAACCTTACCGGGCCAGTCACGCCTGTGTCCGAGCGAAAAGAACATTTATTACTTTAATTACATTATCGGCTGTGTAATTTCAGTAGTCGGTTCATGATAGGCAGGGCAAAAACTAGTAGGTAAGAACAAAACTTCGCACCTTCAAAGCTGGTGTTGTGCAGAGCGTCCAGAAATAATCTCTCCCAAAGAGGATCTCTGTATCTGAAGTCGTTGACGGTCTGGTTCCGACGGAAGTACTTTATCTTGTGTGCTACGTTTTGAATGGCTAGGGCGACCGCCCAAATACCATCGTAGGTGTAGCCGTGAAACCTTGAATACTCAACGCCCCTTCTAGAATCGTACTCCATCCTGTATTCGTCTGCAGTCTGGAAAAGTTAAACATATCCCCTTTACATACACAAAGTCAATAAAATTCACACTTGTCTAAAAACTTCAAATATCGTTTTGTTCCATATAAACAAAAAATTATTTTTAAGCGAAAAGCGTGGGAAACAACGAAGCTTTTTGAACATTTTTTTTATATTTTGCTTGATTATATCGAGTTTAAGCAACCCAACAATTAAAAATCCCTAAATCTTAGCGTCAGTAATATTATTATTATGATTCGTTTACAATGAACAAAAACAAACCGTTACATAACCGAGATAATGCCATCGCCGATTGGTTGAATTAAATTACATCAATCACCGGTCAGTGAAACGGAGTGTTGTGTTTTAATGTAATCTTGATCTTATTGTTTTAATAAAATTTTTAATTCTACAAAAATTTAATTGCTAACGCGAAGGAAATAAAATTACTATTCCAAACACAATAACTGGTCACATGGCTTATAATCATTTATGAAGGCTCTGTATTATATGGATTATTTTATTGCCAATCGGACAAAATTGGACTACGTACTATCCCAGAAATGGTGATTTCTCCGCTAGTTGACAATGGCAACAGATCGGTTAAGATAGTCTGCTCCAAGGACTCCTCGAGCTCTTCCAAGGTACAATTAAACTCAAACTCTAACTTCTTCCACCACTCAAAGCTATAAGTTCCCATCACGATCCACTGGTACTTCCGACCGTACATTTTCAGTTTGTAAGCTTCGCAAAAAATTTCTCTGGCCCATCTCTCATTGAAGTTTCCTAAAAATCATTCCCATCGTCACCAATTAAAAACTGATTTACAAACATTTTCTGTTAATTTGTAATGAACAATCTGATACTTGTATTACATTGTGACCCGATATGCTGGTTAGACGCCACATACATTTAAAAAGATTATTTTCTTGTTAGGTACCTAAAATTATCCTGGTGTCCTTTTCCTTCAGTTTTGTAAGGGCGGTGGTAACTTCGTTTGTAAAACTCTGGGTCTCTAGTACTTGATACCCCATGGTATCTAATTCAGCAACCAACCTGAAACATTCATAGGATGAAAGAAAGTTTAGCGGTTTTTCAATCTCTACGCCTACCTGTTGTGAGCAAGGGAGTACCTCGGCTCGTTCTGGTAGATCGTCCCGACCTTAGTCCAATTGAATTGCTTCAGGAGAGACAACCTGGGGGAATTAAATGCATTCTCTGACGGTACTATCCGGAAGAAATTCGGAAAATTCTCCTTTGTAAACATGGGATGGGTGTCGGCATACGATAACTTCAACATAAAAGGCATACATGCAATATATCAAAAATAATAATTTTCACCATTCAAGCTGTACTAGAAAATTGATTGATTGATATAAATACAGAAATATAATTCAGACAATTTCAATACTTACAATAAAAGAATCTCTTTCAATTTTTTTTTATTGACAAAAATATATTAGGCCTTAACCTGAAGGGTAAAATGCTTTTTACTCTCGAGTTCCGACTGTTCAGATCTAATTAATAATAAATTTATAACAGGTTGTATAATAAAAATGCTAAACCTAAACTAAAACGTTCTGTGTGGGTTAACATATATCTTAAAAGTTTTCTCATTTTTTACTTTGGCTAAATAAAAATCATCTTACTTGTGTCAGGTGCCAGTGTTTGGAGGCCTTCGCTATAGGATCGGTGACGTGCGTGCAAGCAGCTCCGAACAGCATTAGCTTGTGCGGGCCACTGTGCATCATGTCGAAGAAAGCCTTAACACCGACAGCAGCATTGCACTACGACAATATAAAATGGATCATTATTTTCAATTATTCAAAAATTATTTCTTGAGCCTATAGAGACACAAGTTACTTCATTTAAACTGCAGTTCCAGAGACATCAAAGATTAACACCAAACGGGGATGGGATGACAGAGAACGGACTTAAATAATAACAAAATCCGCCGCAACTGTCTTCCCGACCCCGTCTTATGCATATTCCACTTCCACGGTTATCCTTTTCAGTCTGAAAAAGGACAATGTTCTACCCACTTGTAATAATAAGACAAACCTCTATCAGCGTTTTTGTTATTGCGTTTAACTCCACACAGTCGTCTCACTTACCATCGTATCGTTCCACCACATGTGTAGCCTGTAGTTCCTAAGAATGGCAGAATGTTCATTGACGTGATCTAGAGCTAACTTGACACTAGGCATGACTCCCCGTCCTGAAACTCTCCAGGTGTTAAATCCGCGAACAACACTCTCATAAAACTACCCCCTTACCTGTATCCGAGTTTTCTACACCCTTGCCGAACGGAAAGAATCCCGCTATGTAGACATCGTGTCTTCTGTTGTCGACGTTGGGTTTTTGAAGGTGTGCACACTGCAGCAGCACCAGAAACAAAAATATCATTTCCTTGGAACACTTCAACATGTTTTTGCCGTTTTCTGGATATCTAGCTTCGCGCACTTATTTATTTGTTAAACAAAGAGCCCATCGTCGTTTTCCAGTACTGTGTTCCACGTTCTAACTCGACACCTACCCCGACAGTGGTTCCATTTACAATTGGAATTCCGTAATCATCCTGTCCTCCTATGTGCCGACTGATATTTCCGTATGAAAAACTTTTAATTTCTCTGTGCCAGGCCACCGCACGTTATTCGGAGCTATATCGATTTTAACAACCCTCGCTGAGGCTATCTGACCAGGGCGCAAGTCTTCCATTTATATATTTATTTAATGAATCTCTAGCCTTCCCCCTGTTATACAGGGTGTTAATGCCTAGGCCTTTAGTAAATACTATCGCAATTTAAACCTATATAGGTAATACATATTTTTTCATTGTTTAAAACTGATGAATGCGCAAAAAAGTAGTCATAACATATCACGTATAAAAAGGAGAAAGGACGGGGACATATACCCAAAATAAATTTACTCATATGACCCATATACGGTTGTCTAGGCACAAGGCATAAGTCATATACAGGGTATTAATTAAGTATGTACAATAAATTCAATGGACCACACAAGAAACATCTTTTTGTCGTAAAATCATTCAACAAATCGTCTGTTGAATTTATTCTACATACTTAATTAACACCCTATATATGACTTATGGCTTGTGCCTAGACAAACGTTTGGGTCCATAGACAATTTGGGTCATATATGAGTAAAATTTACTCCTATGGTTTGGGTATATGTCCTATATAGGTTTAAATTTCGATAGTACATATATTTACTAAAGGCCCCCATTTACTAGCGTTGAATTTTGAGTGTTCATCTATACATCAGTTATCAACAATATTGGGGCTAGTTTTAGTTATGGAAAATGTTGATGGAGGAGAGAAAAGGAAATAAAGATTTGGACGAGGAGAGGTTCAAAATAGAGAGATAAGTACCTACATTTTCAGATTTAAACCTTTTAAATTAATTTAGAACATCCTCTATCCCCAAAATGATTACACATTACACGACGCATTTGCATGAAGCATATTTAATTTAAGTAGGTATTAAATTCTCATCAATATAGATTTTCGGAAAAGGGTCGTTCCCTTTTCCCTTGAATGTTTAATTTTTTTTCAACTATTACATTAACAATTTTTTTCATATGTGGCTGAAGATAGATACGGATTCAGATTCGGGAAACGAATTTTTACGGCGGATCAATTCATCATTGAAAATAATTTTTAATATTATTTTGCTTCCTTAAATCTTCACTGATTAAATTATTATATGTTATAAAAAATATAACAAATTAAATTTTTAAAGGTTATTACTTTTTTAACCTATCACGTTGTTTCACAAAAAAAATCTAAGATTCTACAAATGTTACAAATTCAAATTGAGATTTATTTATACCCTAAAGAATTATAGGTACATATCGTGGAGACGGAAATATTCCGGGGTTACGATCGAGGGTCAAATGATTCTTTTACTCTTCAGTATTGAAAAATAAAAACGTAGATCCTGCACATACCTACCCCTGTTACAGATTTAAATTTATACTGAGATTTACTTGTCCTAAAAGGAATCATTCATATCGTGAATTCGGAAAAATTCAAAGGTTACGATGAGGATCAAACGATTTTTTTTCTCTTCAGGGTTGAAAAAACCGTAGATCCCACAAATGCGGCTGTTACAGATTAAAATTTATACTGAGATTTACTTATGTCCTAATAGTAATCATTCATATCGCGGATACGGAAAAAAATCAGCGGCTACGAGGTTCGAACGATTCGTTTATGCTTAAAAATATGTTCAATACAGATTTTAATTAATACTCAAATTTATTCATATTCTAAGCAATTAAGTTATTTAGAGCAGGGGGGGCTTCTTACATTTTATATTGATTTTTTTTTCTGTAGTGTTTGAAACTTGTACCTACTTGAATATAATAACACTCTGTTGTCTCAGGATGTTTCTATCTAAGACTGCGAATCGAATAAGTTTTTAACATTCACCGATGTTACCAAATAGAAATCCAGTAAGATTGACGCAATCCGGAGATATTTATGTTTTTAACATATTTGATAAGAACTCTAGCAACGTATTTTATAGCGCAGCGGTCACCTTCGCCGCCTATTAAACTATTAATAAGGAATCTGAAGATATGGAAAAGAAAAACTAGAGACGACTTTAGCAGCAATGTCTTCGAAATGTACTAATGTGGATGTAACGGAGCTGTTGCCAGATTTTGCCCGGCATGAAGTTGAATGCGCAATTGTAAGCGAAACTGTATAGTATATGCTTAATTTAAATTATTATAATAATTAATTTAAAGATCAAGTAAGCCGAGGCCAGAGCATGGGCCAGGATGACACTAATATTATTAAATTTTACTACAATAAATTTCAGGTCACTATTGAAATAAAATAATTATAATTTAAAAACATTAAACAATTAAGTATTTATCATAAAATTAAAAATTGTATTTCACAACCAAATAAACTTAAATTGCCAACTACTAATATTACGTTCATTGTTAAAATAATTTACGACACAAAAAGCAACTAGATATCTTAAAATATTATGTATATAAGCCATATCATGGAAACAATATAAAGGAGGCCGCGTTAGCTTAGTGGTTTGCGCGTTGGCCTACTAATACAGAGGTTCTGGGTTCGATCCCTGGTGCAGTATGGTTTTTTTTCAATTAATATTAATTTCAAATGCCACTATTCATCGTCCACATTTTTCGGCATCAGTTCTGCTTTGGAAGTAAATAATTCCTCACTGCGCGGCGTTTCCAAAACAGCGTTGCCAAATATCTGTTGATAAGGCCGCTAAATTCCTTGTTCTATTTCGTCAGAAATCTTATTAAAATCGTGAAATATAAAATACAGCTGATAAATTAAGGAAAATTCAATAGAACTAAAATACGGTGTTATTTGCGTATTTAAAGTAAAATTAAAGATTCGGCTCTGGTAGTCCAATTAAATGGGCTTTTAAATCTCAATTTTGGTCAACTTGCCTGAATTTTTTGTATAAGTGAGTTTGAGGTAATGTAGTAACAATAAATAAGTAATTATTTTTCAACTCCCAAGCAGGGGTGACAAAATAATAAATGAAGTGTTATTTCAAGATAACTTAAAAGGGGTAAGACCTAGATAAAAAAATTTCTTATAAAAGTTGCAGAGTATAAAATTTTACATAAAAATTAGTTTTTTTCTACTATTAAAATTAACGGAGTAAGGAGGCTAGAATTTATAGGATATGAGAAATTTTAAATCATAAGCACTTTTTTTCCAATTTACTCTAAAAATTATAAACTTTCTTTTCAGATAAATAGACATTTTTTTTAAATTAAATTGTTAACAATTTTAATTTTATCTAAATATCTCGCGTACGCGTAATGATAACAATTATTGATTATATTCAATATAGTTTTCTGCACAATATGATGGACTGCCAGTAATTTTTTATAATACGTTTTTCCCGTTCTCGATCTGAGAAAGGAATCGAGAGTTCGAAAGTTACTGCCGTTTATTGATATCGGGAATCTCTGCCCCCTGATTGATGATCTGCGGCGTAATTTCGTGAAATATAGAGGCCTTCGAACGTGGATTGCGAAATCAAATATTCAAAGTACGTCTGCAACTTATATCGCGAGCTACCAAGTCCCTAATGGAAAATGTGTGTTAGCCGTGTATCTCGAATACCGAGTCACGCAGAAAAAAAGTTTATAGAACAAACTCTACTTATTTTTTTGGTAATGAATCTAGTCCTGCAATTTCTGTATTTTGTGTGTGTGGTTTAGAATTTAAATTTTTTTGTTTTCAATTGGAATGTTCGGCAAAGAATGAACGTATAATACTGGCTTAACTGAGTTAAGTTAATGAATTTGAATATAGTTGCATCAGGGTAAATGGTATATAGATTGACACTGGATTATATAAACGGTAGGAAATGTAGAAGTACAAGGCAATTCAATGATTCTAAGATATAAATACTTACATTTTTCAAAACATCTCCAATAAACATAAATAGTAATATGTAGAATCCACGATTTTTAGCAAATAACGATGTTGAACTTTACTAAAATGCGTGAATGGTAAAATGTGCTTAAATTCTTGTAATATTGATATCCACATTTTTTTATAAGTTAATCTAAATGTAAATTTAGCAAATAAATATTTGTATATTTTCATAGATATAGATAGGCAAATGCAGTGATAAATTAATTTTTTTTAAAACAACTATAACTGCAACAATGTAGACATTTTGTATACAGAGTAAATAGAGCTAAATTGGTTACAGTGGATCGTTTACGAATAAAGCCATGCTGGTTTGGTGTAATGTAACACTTGAAAATACTACAGATTAGATTATATAGAATCTTAAAATCCTTTGTGAAGTTGGACAAAATTGCAATAGGACGATAATTTCTCAAATTCGCAGGATAGCAAAAATAATAAATAATAATAATAAAGATTAGAAAACTGCGAATATCATTCTCAGTAAAGGAAACAAGTTGGAACTAAACTAACAGACGTGATTTGATAAATTTAAAGCATATGTATGACAAAAAGAGGAAAAAAATTTGGCAAAACAATATCGAATATACCATTTTGATCATTCGTTATTCGTGAACTACGTTTTTTACTTTAAACAAATTACCAAAACTTTTCAGATCATGTTTACAATTTATTTGAATGTTAGTGAAATAATTTAACAAACCTCGAATGTTCAAACTCGTTAAAATGATACATAAGACATTTTTTATATTTATTATGATGAAATTTATGTTATTAATTATTTGACTAGTATACCAAGATGGGTCAATTCTTTTAAACTTTTTATATACAGAAATCCACTGATCGAATAAATTATACGATCTTTTATGGAATGCTTCACAAGCAGAGTTAATATCAGTGTAATCTCTTAAAGATTGGCAGTTAGTATGTAACATAGCATAATAGAGTTAAGGAAAATTGGCTTTTTTGAAAATACATGCTTTATTACAATTTACCGAAAAATTGGAGAAATTAATCTTTTTATTTTTGCATATAGAATTATTAGAACCAAGATTTATATATGAAGACATCTCTGGTTTCATTGAGTTACTCTTATCGAGTAATTTAGAAAATAATCTCCACTATTTTACATTTAAATAAGATATTTCGCTTTATATACATAATGGAAAGATAATAGATGGGTTATTAAATAAAAATCTTCTTTTTCTTTTTTCTTAAAGTTTTATTGTATAACGTTATATAATGAACCAAGGCATAAATTATAGAAAAGATTGAAAATGTGGACCTAATCCATGGGTATGTAAATACTTTATATTGCTTTTGTGTGAAAAAAATGTTTTCAAAATGAACCAGGGTTGATCGGGAAAAAACGATCCCACTTATGTTTAATAAAAATATATCTCAAATAGAAATAATTTAACTGCATGTTTTATCAACTAATTAAAATACATTTTATATATATATACATTGTACAATTTTTCATATAGTATGAACAAGTGAATGTTTTAACCAATTATTTTTTTAAATACTTAACAAACTGAATAAAACTATAGTCTAAATTGTAGAAAAATAGCATAATTAAAAAAGAAATAGTTGCTCATTTAAGTAAAAATATTTCAAACAAGAAAGATAACACAACAGAAACGTAAAACTTACATTATTCTGATTCTGACTACAAATAAGTGGGAACAAAAAGTGTGCCACAACTGTCAATACGTAGAATAAAAATCTACGATTCAATTATTACGTATAAACAATGTTCTAAGCACCTTAACATATCCTGATTGTAATCTACAAATAATACAAAACTATCTTTACAGCAAAGATGAATATGACAGTAAAAAAATGGGGCAAACAGCAGGCATACTCCTTTCGCACTGTAAAACAGTTCACTAACACAAAAACTGGTCAATAATGTTTCGCGTTTCTTTTTCTTTTTTTTTTCTCGTAAAAAATTTAATGAAAATAACTATGACAAGGATGATAAAAACAATACGATCATTGGGCCGTCAAGTACACAATTAAATTATAAAAGTACAGCCCTCTCTTTAAGTTGTTTAATACTACTTTACATCAAACACTCAACTCATTCATTCGATCATTTTTTACATCTCTTCCTTCTCAAATTTTATTTTTTTGACGTTTTGTGGCTGCGTGTCTGTTAAACGTTTCGTAGCTTTATTTGTAGATTGTGGATCTGCAAACAGAATAGAACCAAATCAAAGTATTATCCGAATAATATCTACAGATTTATATTAGTAAAAATCCATTTCCATTGTTACAGGAAATATTAAAGCAGCTTCCATTACCTTGTAACCACCTGACTTGGGTGGCTGGTCCGTAACCCTTGTCATTTTTGGCGGCAATGCGAAAAATAATTGCGGCTTTTGTAGATGTATCCAAATGGGCTGCTGCCAAAGATGCATTCGATACCACACACTGGTTACTTGGTCCGCTGTACACTCGCACAAATGCTAGCTGACCAGGAGGATTTGCTTTTTCCTTCAAACAATAAATAAAATGTAAAAAACAGTTACTCATTTATGAATCCTTCCATGTATATACATACTTTCCCTCTCACAGCCAAGTAAACAGAATACTCAAGGATTTCACCTTGATTGGCACTTGGAGGTTCCCAAGACAAGTGTGCTCCATCTGCAGATTTTGCAATTTTAATTGCTGATGGAGCTCCAGGAAAACCAGGCAAACATGTCTTAAAGGCAGAAACCTGCTCGAGGGTAAATACCAAAATTAGAATATGAAATTATATACGGGCTGCCTACTATAAGAGGGCCACTCCTATGAATCTCGCTTAATATACGACGCACGTCAAAAATCTTTATATGTTTTTTGTTGCATTCTTTAAGGCCCTTATGCTCGTAAAAACAAATTTGAGATCCATGGCCAACTTTGTGAGTAATCATAAAAAAACCGGAAAAGCACCGAAAGTTTAAGGTCGTCTAACTTTTTTATTTTAAGAGAGAGAAAGCTTATCTTAATAAAATTTCATGGCAAAATTGATATCTTTCACCTAGTGTAAACAGATTTAAAATATCGTATGTAATTTGCTGCGCCCTCTGTCTAAAAAAAAATTGTCATCGAAGCAGGCTGTGGCTACAAAAAATTGCCTGTTTTTTTCCTCTTTCATGCGATATACTACATGTCGCCTGTACCTTTTATATTTATTACATTTTTTATAATTTTGGCATAAAAAATGTAAACATTTTCGTGGTAACGTAGAAATTATTGTAGACACGTGTCAACTAAAATTTTGAATAATAATGATATTTTTACATATTGAGAAGTGTAATATGTTTGTATTTTACTATCAATGCAATTTCAATTCTATTCAAGCACTTGCGGAATGTAAAAGACCTTCGCTAATAAAATCAGCTGTTGTCAATAAAAGAAGTAATGTTAACACAATTTTAAATTATGTAAATAGGAAAAATTAAAATAAAAAAGTTAGACAGCCTTAAACTTTTGGTACTTTTCCGGTTTTTTTATGATTACTCACAAAGTTGGCCCTAGATCTCAAATTTGATTTTACAAGCATCAAGGCCTCAAAATATGCAAAAAAAAACATATAAACATTTTTGACGTGCATCGTGTATTAAGCGAGATACATAGGAGTGGCCCTCTTATGGTAGACAGCCTGGGATCAAATATATATATATATATATATAGTCTTTTTTATATCTCAAAACCATGTTGTACGAGAATCACTAAATTTGGTACACAGGGATTTTATAACATGTGGAATCTCACAGTGCTACGCTTTTTGGCGAGAAACCCCCTTAAGACACTTTTTCGTGGGCCCCCTTGTCTTTGGAACCAGAAAAATTTGGTAGCAAATTTGATTTTTTTTATAAATTATTAGTCAGCTAGAAAGCCATTGAATTTAGAAAAAAGTATAGACAAAAAGATTCTAAATTTAATGGCTTTCTAGTGGACTGATAATTTTTAAGAAATTTAAATATGCGATAAATTTTTTTGGCTCCAAAGACAAGGGGGCCCACGAAAAATTGTCTTAAGGGGGTTCCCCGCCAAAAAACGTACCACCATCAGATTCCACATGTCATAAAACCCCTGTGTACCAAATTTAGTGATTCTCGTACAACAGGGTTCTGAGATTATTCTTAGGGGCGGACTTCAGGAGGCTGTAACTCCGAAAGAGGGGGCCACTTGGCAAAAATAAAAAATACGTGTCCCTTAAATTTGTCTTAAGAATCTGTAACCAAATTTTGTTGCATGAATTTCGGGACACCTTGTATATATATGGAAAGTCCCCATGGTTCATCGGCCGTTACGCGAGAGTGATAAAGTAAGTCATAGAAATCCGTGCGATAGACAAGGATGGCTATAGTGAAGACATTTCATAATCTGAATAGTCACCGCCCGTTTCGGGTTAGAACTATTCAGATTATGAAACGTCTTCAATGTAACCATCCTTGTCTATCGCACGGATTTCTATGACTTACTTTATCGCTCTCGCATAAGGGCCGATGTATCATGGGGACTTTCCGAACCTGTATATACAGGGTGTCCCAGAATAACGTGTACAACGGAAGGCCATAGATCCGTGGACTCAAAATAGGCGGACTTAGGCTAATTCACCTATATCCGAAATCGCTTCGTTTGGCCGCTAGATGACCTCAAAGTTCGTGAAAATTTTTTGAATTTTGTAAATGACTAATACGCATTAATCGATTTTGATTATTTTTGGGGAATGTACTTTTGCTTTCAATCTACACGTTTTGGTGTTATACAGTGTTTTTTAAAACCTGCAACTCCTACAAAATTAATGTATGGTGATAATATCCGTTCAAAACTTTTTTCTCTTTCGGGCAATAATGACAACTATTTTTTTATCTGAAAGGAGATACGATTTGGAAGTTTTTGGGCCTCTTGTAGAATTTTGATCCTATTCCTAAATCTGCCTATTTTTGAATCCACAAATCTGTGGTCTTCCATTGTACACGTTATTCTGGGACACCCTGTATATATAGATACTATACTATATATACATGGTGTTACGAATTAGTAGGTCAAGCCGTTAAGTGCATATTATTTGGACTTTTCATTTCAGTCCCATTTTCAAAATTCAGGGTGTCAAAATCAAAACTTTAAAAATGGTTTTTATTGATAGCCCGGTAATTTTAGAGACATTTGTTTGATATTTGGCACATATTTTTATCTTAAGTCGTCACACTTTCTTTGTAATCTGAAACTAAAATAACAAAGCGCGAACGGAGAAAAGGGGATTGTAGTAGCCACAACCCCCCCACACCAATTTTTTTTTGAGCACGGCTATGGTTTCAGAATATTTTGTCTTAGATCGAGCGTTTTTTTTTTATTTTACTTAATTTGCTCTTATAAGATTTTGATTCGGGGCTCCGTTTACGAGATATTGCAAGTTTTTTGGAAATGTGACATCGGTTTAGTCGACATTTTTAAATTGTCCACTTTCTTGTAAGCAAAGAACGAAGTTTTAACAAAGAATGTTCCTGGACAGAAAGAATTTTTTTTGTTCATATTCTAGACAGTTTTCAAAATTATTGAGAAATTACAAAATAAAATTCAAACATCGAACGAGGCATATTTGGCTCAATCGACTTATTTTGGCCATCAGTATCTCCAGCTTCGAGATTGCCCAACCTTTCACAGACACTATATTAATATTGAATAACTTTTAAATAAATAATCCCTTAATGTTCAGTCACCTTAATTAAATAGGTAGACTTTTCCTTCCTCTCTAAAAGTACTTACCTCGCTCCACTCCCCCCGTCCTACAGAATTGATGGCAGCTACTCGAAATTTATACGCCGTTCCTGGCTCAAGATTGATTCGTGGGAAATTCGACAACTCGGGTAAATTTTCTATTGTTAAATCGGTGGTATCGTCATCCAATAAAAAGTAACTTTGTACATCACAACTATTACCCTTAATAAATCCTACAGTATACCACGTATCTTTAGCAGGCTGTTCGGATCCATTTAAATCAGTCTTTTTTTGTTCTTTCGAGTGATCTAGTGCTGCAGAAGCGAGAGCTGCGAGTAGGTCCACACTCGAACCGTCATCTTTCCGTCCTTCCTCTGAAGAACTCTCGGTTTTTTGGCTGGTGAAGGAGCTGTCAAATCCGCTATCGGGTTCCATTTTGGTAGCTATGTCCATATTAATGTTTAGGTTTGTGTCGGGTTCTTCTTCCTCCTGTTTGATTTCGTTGAGCTCGGGTTTTATGTCTATATCCATGTCCAGCTTTTCGCCATCATCTGTATCAGTATGTTTCAGCGACCCGTTGACAGTGCTTTGTGTCGAATCGGCTTCGGCAGTAGTAGTTGTCGGTTTCATGCTCGTTTCTAATTCGTCTTTACTACCCCCTCGTAGTCCCAGGCATAACCTGAAGTTGCTTGGCGGTATTACGGGAGATCCTCCAAACAGGCCTAATCTTATTTTTGACCCCCCTTTCAGACCAAGTTTAGTGCGTATCGTTCCGCCACCTAGAAGACCTAACGTTGTTTCCATAGGTGTTGCTCCATCACCAGTCGATGCATCCGTAACACCTTCTGCAACAGACGGTCTTCCCAAGACATCCGATACTCCTTCAATTTTCCCACTTAGTTCCTTTTCGGGTTCAGGATCTATCAATCCGGCCTCAGCTGCAAGAGCTGCTAAAGCGGCATCAGTAGTTGCTGGTCCATCAAATGAGGTCGATGCTAAAATGACAGTTTATAATGCTTAAACTTGCACTTAATTTGCAATGGACATACCTATGGTTGCAGTTGGTTGTTTGGGTCTTGAAACGACCATCAACTTGGGCTGTTCTGAATTATTACTTGCAGCCGAAGACATAGGCAAACGGACAATTTTGCCTACTCCACCCGTTTGATTAGGCTGCACCAACGTCAAGGTTTTGTTGCTGCTGGTTGCCATTTGTACTGTTACTTGTTTGCCACCTATCATTACTTGTTTCTGAAATTGGAAATGAAATTGACCTTTCAGTCTCATTCACATCAGTGCATTAAGGAGGTTTATCGGGTACGTCCAAAGTCAAAGGAGAGTTTCTGTAGACTCGCTAATGACTAATGTAGGAAGCCTTTAGATTTGGCAATTTTGCACTTGACCGGCGCGCTCGGCGTTCGCTCGCTCGCGTTCCATCGTTCTGTTTGTTTGGATGCCTAAGCTTAAAACATACATTATGATGTATATTTCATATATATATATATATATATATATAGATATATATATAGATATAT